CCCCTGTATCTGCTCAAAATCCTAATTGGCAGTGAGCTTTGAGCTGGCACCAGTCACATAAATTTACTCTGCTAAGGAAAGACAGTTTACAGACCTGAGATTATATGTCCCTATTAAGAACTGCTTAAAGGCCTACCCAGGTAACTTAGGTATTATTAGGGTCATTAACGATCAGCTTTCCATGCCTGTAACCCTATAAAACACTTAAGCTCCAATTATTAAAAAACAAAAAAGGGGGAGCCCCAAGGGAAACTCTTGCCTTAACCTTATTTACTTGAAATTTTAAAAATTTACCTCAAGGTGATCCTTATCCTAGAGCTGAAAAGCAGTTTACCTCTCCAGTTCCATCTCAAGACCATACTCCCATATGGTTTAAAGAATTTGATCAGTGGAAACCAGGACTAATGACTGGTTGTGGGAAAGGGTATGCTTCTATCGTTCCAGATGGATCTACCGGCAACATATGGGATCCTCTGTGGCCCATCCGACCCTGGAAGGATGAGAACAGTACAACCTAAACCTGAGGAAGAAGAATTAAAACGGCACCTTGCAGGCCTAAATGTGAAAACCCAATGACGCTATCGTCCCTATCACAAGAAAACTAGTCAGACGCTGCCAACATGGGGTCAGATTAAGATGTTGTCAGACAAGGGAGCAGTTGTTCTGATCAGTACTGAAAGCCCTAGAACACCCGCACATCTGTTTTTGGCCATGGTTGTGCTGCTCGCCTGTACTTCCATGGTGAGTAGTGAACATGTGTATTGAGCCTATGTCCCTCACCTGCCATTGTTAAGATTAGTAGATTGCTAGATCCTGGCTGGTGGTATATACTAATGACAGTATGTATCTTCCTCCACCGTGGGACCATACAGGTCCCGCTTATCCAGCTGAGGAAGGAACAGTTATCCTTAGGAATGGGGTCTTTACCACTGTTTGGGGACACCCCCTTGTTTTACCAATCAGAAGACAGGTATGGATATACATTTTGCCTGATGATAAATCTATTGCTTATATTGTGCCTTATATTTGTGTTATTTGAAAAATACCACTGTCTCCACTACAAAATAGCCAAGATGTCTTTTCCACAAAGGAATTTTGTGCTTGCTGTACTTAAAAAACAAGGGGGACTGGGAAGGTGGCTCAGTGGTAGAGTCTTGCCTCACATGCATGAGGCCCTGGGTTCAATTCCTCAGCACCACATAAACAGAAAAAAGTGGAGCTGTGACTTAAGTGCTAAGGCGCCAGCCTTAGGCCCCACAATCAAGTGAAAAAAAAATAAAAAAATAAAAATGGGGAGCTGTCCAAGGCAACTGGCCCACCTGACCACATCTGAGGATTTGTATGCTGTGAGGCTGTGCATATTGCTGTACAAGGAGAAAACTCTTCCATAGTCCGGGAAACAGTAGGGATACCTAGCCGCTGCCTTGTGGAGAAAGTCTAGGCAACAGTCCAGATGCCTGGCCAAGACCTCAGGGGAAGACATGCAGAATGGGCTTTACAAACTCATCTGAATAACCCCATAACAACTCCCTCACACTCCCCTCACGTAAGAAAATTACCCTCGCCTTATCTCTTGTAATCTTCTGATCATGTAAAACTGTTTCATGTTCACTAAGATTAACTCTTGCTCACTAAGAATAACTTTATGTGTATGCTATATATTAACATGTAGTGCTTTTAGTAAAATTTGTCTATACCTGCACGGTGCAGTCCACTCTCTGCCTACCAGGCACTGAGTTCCCAGGTCTCGCTGTGTGACCAGCAACATATTTCCATTGTTTTCTTTCTTTTGTGGTTCTAGGGACTAAATCCAGAGACTCGTGCATGCTAGACAAGTGCTCTGCCACTCAGCTATACAACCACCCACCCTCTCTTTACCCCTCTGCTGATTTTTCTTTTTGTGGTGGTTCTGGCATTTTAACTCAGGGCTTCAAGCTTTATAGTCAGGTGCTCTACTACATAAGCCACACTCCCTGCCCTTTTTGCTGATTTTTGAAATAGGATCTCATTTCTATGCTTTGGCTAGCCTGAACTGTGATACTATTTCCACATCAAACTTTTATTGGGATTTTTGCAAACTTTTTGCACAGAGTGGCCTTGAACCACAATCCTTCCATATAGTTAGGATTTCAAGTGTCATTGCACTTGTTTGAATTTTTTTAATATAACTAGTAGGTTATTTAAAATTACATATAAGGCTCAGCCAGGCACTGGTGGCTCACCTATAACTGACTACTCAGGAGTATGAGATCTGAGGATTATAGTCTGAAGCAAGCCCAAGCAGGAAAAGTCTGTGAGATCCTTATCTCTAATTAACCACCAAGAAGCCAGAAGTGGAGCTGTGGCTTAAGTGGTAGAGCACTAGCCTTAAGCAAACAGGCCAAGGGGCAGATCTAGGCCCTTGAGTTTAAGTTCCAGTACCAGCACTAATATATATATATATATATATATATATATATACATATACATATATATATGTATATATATATATTATATACATATATATATAAAGCTCACATTTATGACCCCTGTATTGTTATTGAGCAGTGCTATTCTAGACTGTCACCAAAACATATACTAAAAGCCCAGGACCTTGAGCATGAGAGGCACGCAACTACCACTGAGGTACATGTCAGCCTAGGACATACATACATTCTTAAAAGAGCTAATTAAACACTCTTGTAAAAGGGAGAAAATACTCAGAGTATCCCTTATTTTACCTGTAAGTCTGAAACATTCAATTAACTTGATAGCATACTAATAATGAAAAACAATTATCTTAAGAAATTCTGGCAATTTTATATAAGGCAATAAAATTAATAAACAAATGGACAATGTAAAGTCTCAACTTGTAGTACATTAAGGTGTTAATATGAATTATAGAACAAGAAAAATAATCTTCATTCCCATAATTGCTATTTCAAAAGAAAAAATACAGTTTCCTATTGTCCTTATAATTTCCTATCTCTTCCATATTTGAAAAACAGGTGGGTTCTGAATTCTTCCAACCAAGCAATCATGAAATTTTTGTCTAAAACAATCCTAATCTTTACCATACATTCAGCCCTCACCTCAAAGTAAACTCCTATTTCTTCAATTATAAATGTAAATCCACTAAATAGCCCAAGAGAATACTTTCATGCAGCTAGTCTTCAAAGATCCCAAGACAATATTTCCAACATATTAAGATGATTAGAAACACAAATGGGAGTGGTGACAAAAATGAATGAAAAAATGTTAAGTACTTCTGGTATTCAAGTATAAAACCAAGTATGAAAAAAATCTGAAATTAGGCATTTATATTCAAATTCAAAATACTTGACCTAAATATGCTAAATAACACATCTTAAACATGTTGTAACACATGAAAATTACACATTTTTAATTTTAGTATCCATAATGAAGTTTCATGCTTACTCATTTACATATTGTGGATGCTTTGGTACTTCAAGGACAAGCTTTAAAACTTGAAACCAGGTGGCCTTCCAAGTCTTAAGATTTACTAGCTGGCCCAATTAAAAAAAAATTATAGAGTTTTGAAACAGGCCTTTTGTGAATATCCTTTTTACTGGGGGAGGAGAGAGAAAAGAGGCAAGATTCTAAACATTTAGTTCCCTCAGTATTATCCTCACTTAAACCAGATCAACATATTTCGACCAAATATATACCGGGCTTAAACACATAATTTTGTATGAGGAAGTTTCTAAAGGTAAATAAAAAGGTTTGATGGAGGCTGGGAAGGTGGCTCAGTGGTAGAGTGCTTGTTGCCATGCATGCATGAGGCCCTGGATTCAATTCCTCTGCACCACATAAGCAGAAAAGGCTGAAAGTGACACTATGGCTCAAGTGGTAGAGTGCTTGCCTTGAACTGAAGAGCTAATGGACAGCATCCAGGCCCTGAGTTCAAGCCCCATGACTGACAAAAAAAAAAAAAGATTTGTTGGCAAAACTAGTAATTGAATACAAGGCATCACACTTACTAGACAGGTGCTCTGCTATTTGAGCCACATTCATAGACTCACAAAAATGATTTATAAATTGTAAAATGTCAACTACAAGACTAAGGCATTCAAACATCTTTTTACACCAAAAAACTGTTTAAATTCTTATTAACGAAAATCCAGTCAAAAAAAGATTTGGGTTTTTTATTAAGGGGGGAAATGTCTGAAATGAAAACTTAATTCAGCCTGAGCTACAAATTAGATTGAAATATATTGCCAACGAGGTTGTTTCTTACTTTATCAGGAAAATCATTTAAGATATTTTGAATTCTCTGGTTGTAAAATGAGTTCTTGCTCACAGATAAAAACGTGTTTGTACAAACTTTCATACTTTTTCCTTACTTAGTCAGACACTATATAGTTGACTACATAATCTAGTAGGTTATAATTATAAACCCCTTATGAAAACAAAATTAAACCTAGGATATACAACCTAAAATGTACACCATTTCAAGGTAGCCAATAACCTACAGCACCTCCTCTGGAAAATTAAGTAAACTTGATTTCGGAATTCTATTTTAGATAGAAAGCAAACCTTTAATAATGAAAAGGGATTGTTGTTGTTCACACAGCGAGACTGAGAACGCAGTGCTGGGTAGGCAGAGAGTGGACTACACCTTGCAGGTATAGATAAAGTTTATTAATAGCACTTATGCTTATATATAGCACATACACACCGAGAGTTAATCTTAGTCAGCAAACATGAAACAGTTTTACGAGATCAAAGGTTACAGGAAATAAGCAAAGTGCAGGTGATTTTCTTACATACATAAAAGGAGTATGAGGGAGTGTTATAAGATCATTCAGAGGAGTATGTAGAGCCCATTCTGCATGTCTTCCCCTGAGGTGAGGCCAGGCATCTGGACTGTTGCCCAGACTTTCAAGGAGTTTTCTCTTTCCCCCTAAGGCTGTGTACACCAGCATACACAACCTCACACAGCACACAAATCCTCAGAAGGAATCACGTGGCCAGTGCCTTCGACAGCTTCCCCTTTTTTGTTTTTTAAGTGTAGTAGAGCAAGCACAAAATTCCTTTGTGGAAGGGACATCTTGGCTATTTTGTGGTATCCTGCAAAGAATGCAAATATAAGACACAATACAATCAATCCTGTAAAAGCACTATGGGTAAAACTCTGCCTCCAGGTACAGGGATTTAATTGATGTAATACAGATGCTATTCCTTCAGCTAAGCCTTCATTTCCCATCCTAGGGAATTATGCCCAGAAGTCTCAGTGACTTCTTCTTGTAGCTGATGTATATTCCAAGATAAATTTCCTCACAAGTTCTGCAGGTGGTACTAAAGTTCCTGCCAAGTGATGCATTGAAGGGGGCGTTGGTAACACACAGCCTTGTTGGCCTCTAATCACATTTAAAGCTAAGTTGTTTTTGCAGATCAATTATCTGGTCTCTCATCCACTGGACCGCATTTGTAGGGTGTTTATGTGGGATTCAATATCCTGTTCAATATTTATCTGATGAACCCACAGCTGATGAGAATCTTGCTGCCACATCCCAACAAAGTTCTTGGGTTGGACAGTGGTATGCAGAGCTACTCCAGTGGTTGCAGCGGCTGTGGCAACAGCAATCAGTTCAATAACTGCGGCTATAATTATGCCCAGAAACCTCTTAGTTCTTTTGAATACTCATTGGAAAATTCCTGTCAGCAAACCGACAATGGGGCTCTCTTGCCAAGGTCAGGTGAAGTTAACAGGCAACCAGACCTCCTAAGCAAGATGGTCATATCTAAAGGGATTAAGAAGACATTAAAAGGAATAGATTGATTTAAACATGTGAAAGTAAACAATCAAAACTATCTAAGTTACATAAAGTTTCACTAATTGACACAGTTCCTATGGCTAATACATAAGGAAGTCTAACACAAGCCTGTACAAAAGAAGAGTGATTCCTATAAAATGTATAGTTTGCCTTATAGGCTCTAATAAAATGTCCAAGAAAATTTTGAGTTGTATGAAACAGGCAGAAGTTTCCATAAATGCCATTGTTCAGGGCTCAAACGTCCCTTAAAATTTATTGGTGGTCTACGAGGTACAAGGCCTCATCATGCCAGGTAAGCAAAGCAGTGGGTTCTACATGATTTATAATTCCATTGTATAAACGCCATCAAACAGAAAAATTACTAGTACACCAATCATCAACATGTTTTTCAGAACTACTGGCGATGAAATGCCCCTGGGGGCCCAATCTATAAATGAAACATTATTATGCTGTATAATTTTTCCTCTAGGGCTGCGACACTGAGACCACTGAATAGGAGTGTAAACACAATTGCAACATTTAATGCCCTGGCATACAGGGTTGGCTGGTCACCCAGTCATACTTAGTCAGAATGATTCTGATGAATGAAACCTAAGGAAAGTGAACTAAATGGTCAAATGCCACCAATAGACTTATCATCAGGCAAAATGTACACCCATACCTGTCTTCTGATTGGTAAAGCAAGGGGGTACCCCCAAACACAGTGCTAAAGACCCCACTCCCAAGGATATATTATAGTGTGTTCCCTCCTCAGCTGGATGAGCGGGACCTGTATGGTCCCACGGTGGAGGAAGATACATACTGTCATTAGTATATACCACCAGCCAGGATCTAGCAATCTACTAATCTTAACAATGGCAGGTGAGGGACATAGGCTCAATACACATGTTCACTACTCACCATGGAAGTACAGGCGAGCAGCACAACCATGGCCAAAAACAGATGTGCGGGTGTTCTAGGGCTTTCAGTACTGATCAGAACAACTGCTCCCTTGTCTGACAACATCTTAATCTGACCCCATGTTGGCAGCGTCTGACTAGTTTTCTTGTGATAGGGACGATAGCGTCATTGGGTTTTCACATTTAGGCCTGCAAGGTGCCGTTTTAATTCTTCTTCCTCAGGTTTAGGTTGTACTGTTCTCATCCTTCCAGGGTCGGATGGGCCACAGAGGATCCCATATGTTGCCGGTAGATCCATCTGGAACGATAGAAGCATACCCTTTCCCACAACCAGTCATTAGTCCTGGTTTCCACTGATCAAATTCTTTAAACCATATGGGAGTATGGTCTTGAGATGGAACTGGAGAGGTAAACTGCTTTTCAGCTCTAGGATAAGGATCACCTTGAGGTAAATTTTTAAAATTTCAAGTAAATAAGGTTAAGGCAAGAGTTTCCCTTGGGGCTCCTCCTTTTTTGTTTTTTAATAATTGGAGCTTAAGTGTTTTATAGGGTTACAGGCATGGAAAGCTGATCGTTAGTGACCCTAATAATACCTAAGTTACCTGGGTAGGCCTTTAAGCAGTTCTTAATAGGGACATATAATCTCAGGTCTGTAAACTGTCTTTCCTTAGCAGAGTAAATTTATGTGACTGGTGCCAGCTCAAAGCTTACTGCCAATTAGGATTTTGAGCAGATACAGGGGGTTTGGGATTTTAACTATCCCCCACATTTTACAACTTTAGCCTTTTACTGCCCACTATCACAGATGATTGACAAGTTCCAGGCCAGTTGTGCATGCTTATAAACTTTCTTCCCATGACTTCTGACTCTGATCAATTTTTGAAGGGCCAAGCGTAAGTGATTCCAGGATATGACACAGTCTCTGCCATCTAAGCAGTGGCATGTAACTGCTTCTGGTTGCTCCATCATTGCCAAGGTCCCAGGAGTGTTTTTCTGCATGCTGGGTTAAATACACCTTGGCATTTCCCTTGGTCTGTCACTAGACTTGAACTCAGGGCTGAGTACTGTCCCTCAGCTCTCCAACTCATGGTAGCATTCTACCACTTTGAGCTCCAAAGCAACTCCACTTTCCAGCACTCTGCTGGCAGATTAGAGATGACAGTCCCATAGTCCTTTCTCTGCCAGGGTTGGCTTGAACCACAGTTTTCAGATCAATGGGTCTTACAAAAGGCCACTTTACCCCAATTAAAAGCAACAAGGTGGTCAACATGGAAGTAGCTTTTTAACCATGCTCTTACCTGGAATTTATTAAGGGGTAAAGGTACACCTGACAAACTTGTAAATATCCTGTCTTTTACTGTGGGTCTGCTGAAAAAATGTGTAAGGGCAAGCTGGAATCGTTTTGGTAGCCATAATTTTTCCTTTTTGTACTTTGAAACAAACACTTGGAACAATTTTACTTCCAAATTTCATATCCAGGAATCCATTCCTGATCTAAAAAGCCTTTTACTAACCTCTACTTTTATACTTTATTCTTCATTTAAAGAACCTCATGCATTGCCTTTTGGCTGCTTATTTATTTATGTATATATGTATGTGTGTATGTATGTATATATGTCTTGGGGCCTGAACTCTGGGTCTGGGCACTGTCCCTCAGTTCTTCAGCTCAAGGCTTGAGCTCTACCACTTGAGCCACAGCACCACTTCCAACTTTTTCTGTTTATGTGGTACTGAAGAATTGAATCCAGGGCCTCATGCATGCAAGGCAAGCACTCTACCAATGAGCCACATTCCGAGCCCTGGTTGCTTATTTTAAAAGATATATTTTATGTATTTAATTTTTCTGTCTGATTTACCTCTTAAAAAACTTTTGAACTCAAATGACAGTTTTTCCTTAATACAAAAGTTATAATAAACTAGTATTGAATCTAGAGTCAACATATTTTGGCTTTTTAACACATATCTAATAGCAGAATAGCATTAAAACCAGATTACACAGATAAACTTTTCAACCCTACTTTTTATTTTTTTTTTTATTTTTATTTTTTGGTCCGGTCGTGGGGCCTGAACTCTGGGCCTGGGCACTGTCCCTCAGCTCTTCAGCTCAAGGCTAGCACTCTACCACTTGAGCCACAGCGCTACCTCCGGCTTTCTTCTTTTTGCTTATGTGGTGTTGAGGAATCGAACCCAGGGCTTCAGGCATGCAAGGCAAGCGCTCTACCACTGAGCCACCTTCCCAGCCCTCAACCCTACTTTTTAAAGCCTTTTCAATTTTTAATACATCCAAGAGCAATTCTGGCAATACCAATTACATCATCACATCACTCACTTTACCATCAGGTTTGCAGTGTCCATTCTTTTCTACCATGGGTCTTCTCTAGGCTCATCCTAAAGTTTTACCTTTCCTTTTCTCTTCAACTGAAGTACCCACGCAGTTTTTAAGATCCTCCCAGGCCATGCAGGCCCTGTATAGTCATCTCCTACCCCTTGGCTAATTTTCCTGCCCGTATCTGCATTACCTAGATAACTGGCACACCTGGGCCCTGAGGTAACGTCCAGATCCAGTGTGACCTTTCCCCCACCACTTCCTGTGCCTGGCCTAGATAAGGAATGGGGGGGGGGGGTCCTCCTCCATCCCTTTTAGGACATGCTCTCTACCATGCACAGCAGGAGGGGAGGGCAGCAGTTTGGTACATAAGCTTTGGTAAATAAACTCCATTGTGGCCACACCCCCATCAGGCCATTCCTCCTCCTGTGCCTTGCCTACATAAGTACTAGCCTGGGGTGGGTCGCCCCTTTTGGGACTTGCCTCTCCACCATGCATGGTGGGGGCAGCAGTTTGGTAAATAAACTTCTTTTCCTGCCTAAATAACCCATGGTTTTCTCTTCATTGACTACCTAATGAAACTTTCCTACTTCCTACCTTACAAGTTTTGGACAGACAAAACAGGTAAAGTCTTTAGCAGTGGTAAGCAAACCCTTACATTTAAGTTTCTAATACTTTCCCCCAAATTTTAGCCGAAGGAAATAAACCCCAGATCCCCAATGTCTTTTGGCTAAGACAGATAACTTGATTACAGTGTAAACAGCCTCATGCATTTAAAAATACCAGATTTCAAAATACTAAATTTTCTAATTTTCAAATGAACAAATCCTTAGCCTTTAAAACAATGCAGTAATTCTTAAAGACTTTTGGTAACATCCAAACCTCAGAACCTTTTTGAATTTTAAAGTTAAACTCACCGAAATCTTTTACAGCACACAGTCAAGTTTTTATCTTAAACATATTCACACGGGTTCAGACACACACAGATTTTCAGTGGTAGATAAAACCTTTTAACAAAGTACTTTATCTGGACCACAATTTTTCCAGGGCTTGCTTGGTTAGCCAGGCATCTTACCAATTGGCCTTTTGAATACCTTCAATTGGAGGAAGGCTGGGTGAGGGTCACCTGAAACTAAACTGGCCTGACTCTTGTCTTTTATCCAATCTTAGACAAGAGCACTTTATAACCATTTGCACTGACAGGACCAGCCAAATGTCTGAACCAGGCTCACAGCCATCTACACCCTCCCCTCTGGCAGCTTCCACAAGGAGAAAATGCAGCCTGAGCCTTGTAGTCAGGCAGTCTCAGAATTTTCAAGGCAATTCAGATTAAATCACAAGTTCCATTAACAAAGATCTTTTAGCAAGCAGAATACTTGATAACTTTGAAACCATGACCCTTTTACACATTTCACATATAGACAAATAGGCAGACAAGTTTGTGCACAAATCATAGAGCGCACTTAAGATTTTAATACTGGCTGTTTTAAGAGTTTTTGGAATTTTCGTGGCGATATTTTGCCTAATTATGATTGAACCACGTAGTCAGTTAAAAAAACAAAACTTTGCCAACAACAAAAAACTTTTAAGTAGACAGGAAAAAGGACATGAACACAGATAGGTGGCATGCCACAACAAGAACAGAAAACCTTTTAGCTAAGTTTCTTCTTTAAAATGATGCAGTAATCCTTTTACACTTTGTTTCTGATCAACAATCTTTTCATCTTTCAATATTTCTTATAAAAGTTTTGCCGGTGATAAGGCCTGAACTCTGGGCCTGGGTGCTGTCCCTCAGCTCTTCATCTCAAGGCTCTACCCACCTGAGCCACAGCACTACTTCCAGCTTTTTCTGCTTATGTGGTACTGAGGAATCAAGCCCAGGGCTTCATGCATGCAAGGCAAGCACTCTACCACTGAGCCACCTTCCTGGCCCTCATCTTTCAATATTTCTATGTAAGCTCTCCTTACATTGTTTTAAACTCTCTGCCATGTTTTTTCATCGAAAGTTCCCTTGTTGGGGAACCATGGGTTATGCTCACAAATAGTTTCGAGACACTCCAGAAGTGGTTCTTTGAACAACTCTGCTCCACTTTTCTTAAGAAAGTGATGTCCCATAATGAAATGCTTCCCACTTACCTCCTTCTCTGAGGACACCACCATCCTTCTAATTAAAACTCCAGGTGCCACTTGTTGCTGCTCACACAGCAAGATCTGGGAATGCAGTGCCTGGTAGGCAGAGTAGACTACACCTTGCGGGTATAGACAAAGTTTATTAAAAGCACTACATGCTTATATATAGAATACAGAGTTAATCTTAGCAAACAAAAAAAATTCATTTTAGTCAGCAAATATGAAACAGTTTTACAGTGATCAAAGATTCAAGAGATAAGCAAGGCCCAGGTGATTTTTTTACACACAAGAAGGGAGTGTGAGGGAGTATCATGAGGTCATTCAGAGGATCAGGAATAGCACATTCTGCATGTCTTCCCCTGAGGTTGTGGCCGGGCATCTGGACTGTTGCCCAGAGTTTCAAGGAGTTTTCTCCTTCCCTCCAAGGCTGTGCACACCAGCATATACAACCTCACACAGCACACAAATCCTCAGACGGGGTCACACAAGCCGGTGCCACTGACTTGAGATTTTTTTTGTTTAAAGCTGGTCCTGGGGCAAGGCCTGCACTCTATCACTTGAGCCACAGCTCCAACTTTTGGCTTTTTCTGATTGTTATTGGAGTCTCACAGACTTTTCCTGCGCTGGCTGGCTTCAAACTGAGTAGCTTAGGATTATAAGCATGAGCTGTCAGTGCTTAGCCCTTATCTTTTTTTATATATATTTGTAAACTGCCATTTAAGACTTGATGTCTACAGCTTTAAAAAAAACTTAAATATGTTTACACTAGTATTTTAATAATACTAAAGCATAAAAATTAAAAATAGAGATGTACAAGAAAGTGAATCAAATTTCTGAGTAACTTGGTCTGTTCATACTGGTTTTATTTTTCAGGACATCTCAGGAACAGATATCTAATCTAGTATCTAAGGAGCAAAAAATGAACTGCCATTTATATATTATTAAATATCAGTAACAGGTCACTGATATTTTCAATTTTCTAATAAACATAAATTATCCTTAAGCCTGTGTATTTCATAAACAAATATGCAACTTACCAGTCTAATCTAAGGATAGATGCAAATTGCTATTTCATTCTTGATTTTAGAATTAAAATATTTTTTGGAGTTTTTAAGAGTTAAAATGTATCTTACAGATATATTTAAAAATAATTTTAGGGCTGAGAATATGGCTTGGTGATAGAGTGCTTGCCTAGCATGCATGAAACCTTGGGTTCGATTCCTCAGCACCACATAAACAGAAAAGGTCAGAGGTGGCGCTATGGCTCCTTAAGCACGGAGAGGCTCAAGGACAGAGCCTAGGCCCTGAGTTCAAGTCCCAAGACTGGCAAATAATAATAATTTTAAAACTATATGACATAACTTATATTGTAAATCAGGGTATCATCTAATAATAGGAGTGATGGGAAAAAGCTAAATTAAAGTCAATCCTTTACCACAACTCTTATCTAGATGAAATATAAAATGTTTTATGTGATGCTGTACTAATTATTTCAATAATTATTTACTTTAAGAATGGGGACAAAATAGCTTAATTATATTAAATCGTCCTCTTATATACCAATCCCATTTTTCTACTCTGCTATTAGGTTCCTTGCCCAACGAACTCAAAATTAAGGATTAGCCTCTCTGCCATTCAACATAGAACTAACTTCTTTTAATATTTTACATACAAAAATATTGATATCCCAGAGTCATTTTTAAATATCTAGATTCTTACTCTGGCAAAAAAAGTCCAGTGTTTAACCATAGCATAGTAAGGGCATTTAACACATACACCATATTTACTGGTGGTTATTGATGTTTAACATACACCGTAAAAAATATTAACATACCAAATTCTAAGACAATTTATGAACATAAAGTTCTAATTTCTGCCCTTTTTTCTACAACATAATCTCTTAAAATCTTCTAAATTTGATACTAAAATCAAATCAGCAAAGTAACAATAACAAAGAAAAGTAGCAAGAGAGAAATATAGGCATCTATACCTAAATACTTACCTTGATCCTGTCATAGGACCTCTTCCATCCTTGTCATATCCCCCACGCCCTCTACCTCCTCCCTGTGACCCGCCATATCCTCTATTATCTTCTCCATACCTACTCACATCACGACGGTCATCTATAAAAGAAAATATTACATACCTAAGTAACTATTGTCATTTTGGAGACAAGGTCTCACAATTTGCCCAACCACCCAATTGTTAGTTGGTATGTCATCATGCCCAACAAGTATTGTCATTTCTGACAGATGTTTCACATAAACAAAACCATTTGTGGGCAGGAGAGGGCAAGACATTTCTATGCAGTCCAGACTGGCCCAGAACTTGCTACATAGCTCAGCCTAGCCTTAACTCTCAATCTTCCTGTCTCAGCTTCTCATGTCCTAGCATTAAAAGCATGTGTTGCAAGGCACCAGTGGCTTACGCCTGTAATCCTAGCTACTCAGGAGGCTGAGATCTGATGATGGCAGTGCAAAGCCAGCCTGGGCAGAAAAGTCTGTGAGACTCTTATCTCCAGTAAACTACCAGAAAACCAGAAATGGCACTGTGGCTCAAGTGGTAAAGCACTAGCCTTGAGATGAAGAGCTGAGGGACAATGCCCAGGCCCAGAGCTGAAGCCCCATAACCAAGCAAAAAAAAAAAAAAAAATGTGTTGCCACATCTGGCTAGATAACATAATCTTAAATGCACTTACAGCCAGATATTATGACTTTTGGATAAAAGCACATGTACACAGAGCTCAAATCCAAGTCATCAAAACACACAGAATTAAATATTTGAGAATTCTATCTGTATTAAATCCTATTCTACTAGAAAACAAGAACAGCAAAGTGGTGATATGGTATGAGTTAAAATAAAAGCTTTTTGTTGACAGTTGTTGTAATCCCAACTACTTGAAAAGCTGAGGCAGGAAGACATATTTGAGGCCAGACTGAGCAATTTAATGCTATCCTGCCTCAAAATAAGCATAACACTAAAAAGGGCTAGGTGTATAGTGCAGTGGTACAGTGCTTGACTAGCATTCACAAGGCTCTGGAGGACTGAAGGCATAGCCCAAATGAGAGGATAAGGCTCTAATTCAATCATCAATACTGAAAACAAAACAAAAAACCTTATGAAAGTAACTCTGATAAAAGCACAACCCAAATCATGAAACTTACTACTTTCTTCACTTCTAAAACTGTAAAACAATAGTTAAGGTATATACTGATTTTATTTGTTCACTCAATTATTCAACAGAACCAGGAATATAGCTCATGGCAGAATGCTTCACAACATGTGCAAGGCCATGGGTTCAATCCCAGAACTGAAAAAAAAAAATTCAGCAAATGTCCATTGAGAACTCACTGTGAACTAAGTCCTAAGATACAAACACTAAGATATAAAAATGAATCGAAAACAGTTCCTTTTTTCCTTTGAATCATTTTCATCATGTGGACAGAATCCTAAATATCAGTGGGATATACAAAACGCTATAGGACAAGAGGAAGTAATGACCAATCTTTGTTAATGAGGTTAGTAAAGGCTAATACAAAATGATTTCCCTAAATCAAGTGTACTTCTAGCACCAAAAAGTGGCAAAAATAACATTGCCAAATGATCACTTGAAATAGCACAGGAAATGTAAAGTAAATGAAATAGCACAGAAAATCAGCCACCAAAAAGTCATATAACCATTTGGAAGTCTCCCTGAAATCAACAAAGAGAAATCTAATCACAGTTTTAATAGCCATGGGAGAAAAATCTATCTTGGAAGACACCTCAAATCTTTACAAATAGGTGAAATCTAGTGTGAGTCTTTTGATCCAAATTCAACATACAAATAATTCTGGGAAGGGAAGAAGGAAACTAGAAGCCAATATACCTTACCTTGTGTGTGGTGACTATAGTTTTCCCTTTGTGAATGATAGGACTGCTGGTTTTGATTATAGGAATCATGTTGCTGATAATTTGACTGCTCATCATATGAGCCTTGATGCTGATTATAGCCTGACTGCTGGTTATAAGAATCATGTTGGCTATAGTCAGATTGACCATATGAAGGCGCTCTTCCACCTTGGCTAAAGAGAAATCAAAGAACATGAGAGACTTTCTTGGAAGATTATGTTTACTGTAGCAAGTTGGCTACAACTAATATAAAAATCTTGATCACTTATATCTGAACCATATTTGATAAAATTTTCTCATAGTAATTATTTGGTTCTTTTATCTCTATCTCCTTATCATCACTGAAATACCCTTTAAGAGACCAATCTCACTATCTCACTGAAGAGATGTCACTCAAACAAAAGCCATACTATGGAAAAGAACCCCAAGTACCTTTGAGAACTCTAGCAAGCATGAAAATAACTGATTTTACTTTCTTTTTTGGTGCTGGTCCTGAAGCTTTAATTCAGAGCCGTACATTATCCCTGAGCAACAATACTGAACTAAGAATACTTTTTCTGAGACCCTTTCCTCCCCAGTTAAATGATTTAAAATAAAAAAAATTTAAAAAAAAAAGCAAGATCCCAAAAGCTGTAATTTTAGCTACTCAGAAAACAGAGATCAGCCAGGCACTAGGCACTGGTGGCTCACACCTATAATCCTAGCTACTCAGAAGGCTGAGATCTGAGGATCCCAGTTCAAAGCCAGCCTGGGCAGGAAAATCCGTGAGACTCATCTCCAATTAACCACTCAGAAAACCAGAAGTGGCTCTATGGCTAAGAGTGGTAGAGCACTAGCCTTGAGCTAAAGAACTGAGGGACAGCACCCAGGCCCAGAGTTCAAGCCCAACGACCAACCCCCCACCCCACCCCCAAAAAAAGAAGAAAGAAAACAGATCTGAGGATTGAGGTTTGAAGCCAGTTGGGGCAGAAGTCAGTAACTAGGCTTGGGATGAATCTCAGTGGCAAAACACTTGCCTAGCAAGTGCAACATCCTAGGTTCAATCCCCAATAACAAAAAAGAAAAGACAGAAAAAAAAAAAAAAGGTGCCTCCAAACTGATTCTCAGATCTAAACCTTCTGAAGTAACTATAATTATAGGTGTGAGCCCAGCACCTAGCCCATACATTCTTTATAAAAGGATTATGCTTAAACTTAAAACTAAACAAGAAGGTATTAAAGGGTTATTTTTTTTCTTTTTTTATTATTGTGAAAATACTGTACGGGGGGGGGGGGTATTTTTTTCTTAAATGACTTCAAAATATTCCCTACATTTGTACTCTATAGTTTTCAAACATTCTCAAAATTTGGTATTTTTGGTTTTGTTTTGCTAGTACTGGAGTTTGAACTCAGGGCCTATGCTTACTCTAGGAAAGTACTCACATCTGAACTAGGTCCCCAACCCTAAAACTAATAATCTGACTTCAGAAATCTTTCCTAATGTTTTTATTTAACTGAATTTTATTAGGACTAACTTCAACACTGCAGTCAGAAACCACTAGAGATTTCAGTTTTCTAAAATCTCCAGCTATAAAACTTGAGGAACTGTATAACTGTAACAATATTTCTTTACATCTACAAAATGGGGATAACTACTATCTGTGGCATCTGAGGATTAAACACCTGAAATGGAAAATGTAAAGCACAGTGGGGAGAGGGGGAAGGGGTTGCATTATTTACTTAATTAAATATAGGCTCTTTAAAACTAAATTTTAAAGTTTCATGCAGGCCAGCCACTGGTGGCTCACACCTGTAATCCTAGCAAATCAGGAGATTGAGATCTGACGATCGAGGTTCAAAGCCAGCCCGGGCAGGAAAGTCCATGAGATTCTTATCTCCAATAAACCACCAGAAAACCGGAAGTGGCCCTGTGGCTCAAACGGTAGAGCACTAGCCTTGAGCTGAGGGACAGTGACCAGGCCGAGAGTTCAAGTCCCATGACCAACCAAAAAAAAAAAAGTCTCATGCAAATCAACTGAAAATGTTCACCTATCTGTATTAACAAATAAAACATACTCCAGGTATCTGGTACATGTAGATGTTTCTGTAGTTTAAGAAAAAAAAAATGGGCTGAGAAGGTGGCTCAGTGGTGGAATGCTTGCCTCGCATGCATGAGGCCCTGGGTTCAATTCCTCAGCACCACATAAACAGGAAAAGTCAGAAGTGGGCACTGTGGCTTAAGTGGTAGAACGCTAGCCTTGAGCTGAAGAGCTCAGGGACAGTGCCCAAGCACAGAGTTCAAGCTCCACAACAACAACAACAACAAAAATTCTGGAAAAGTAATACATTCAAAAGGCTCAAAAATAAAATGGAGCTGGGTGCTGGTGGCCCACATCTGTAACCATTGTTACTCAAGAAACTGAGATCTGGAGAGCACAGTTCAAAGCCAGCCTGGGCAAAAAAGCCCATGCGACTCTTATTTCCAATTAAACACTAGAAAAGCTAGAAGTGGAGCTATATAGCTCAAATGGTAGAGCATTAGCCTTGAGCAAAAAAGCTCAGGGACCGTGTCTAGTATCTGAGTTCAAGCCCCAGGACCATTAAATTAAATTAAATTATAATGCTCAGGACAGGGTTCTTGCCTAGCATGTGTGAGGCTCTATGGTTCAATTATCAGCACCACAAAAAAACTGAGTTGGAAATAAAAAAGACAGGCAGTGAAGTTTAAAACTAAAACTTCAGCAGTATCTATTTACATTACCCAACACAATCTCAATACTCTTACTATTTCCTTACCCTGATGATGATTCCGTGCTTTGCTGTCCTTGGTTATTGTACGATTGCTGGCCATATGAGCTCTGCTTTTGATTCTCATAACCACTGTAGGACTGTGAATAACCTAAAGATTGTACAGGGATACTATTTAGAGAAAGTTCTGATTTCTAAGTCTTTAAACAGCAAAGTTAACAAATCAGTCCAACCTGATTGGTTCTGTCCATAACTGGAGTAACCGCTATAGTTCTGTCCGTATGAAGAATCAGTTGTTTGCCCATAGCCAGAATAGCTCTGAAATTCAGGTAAATGGTTTTCATCACTTAATATGAAAGTAACTAGTAATAAAAAAGAAATTTTATCTTTCAACCTACTTGTGGTGCTTGCCCATAGCTTTGGTTGCCTTGATTTCCATAGGAAGAATAACTGTAAAATAAAAATGTAGTACTTAAATGTGCTTGAAGAAACTTTAAAAGCTTAAATGAAGCACCCTGCCTTCATTTCAACTTTTACTTCAAATCCAGGTTTCTTTTCTGAGCAACTATCAGTTTACCTTTCTCGTAAGAGTCTAAAATGAAATGTGATGACCAAAGTCCATAAAAGACATAAATGGTATCACACCCAGACCTCTTTACACATCAAATACCAGAAATTTTATTTTAACAAGTCCTTACAAGTACAACTTCACCAGAGCTACAACGTCTCAAGAAATTTATGCTTTACGGTCAATAAAATGGCCAGAAACATTGACAAATTTCATTCTATAGGCAAATTTTTAATCTCGGGTTCAAATTTTTCTAATATTTAAATCCAATACAGTAATTGATAGCTAAGCTTTTGTTTTTTTTGTTTAGAAATAACACATAAGCTACACATCAAGACCCACAATATCTTTAACACAGTAACTTTTAATACTTTTGTTAAAGTACCAGTTTAGTTGGTACTTTCAATTTAGCTACATATGAATAAACTAACTTCTTCCTACCACTTGCCTTCATTAAATGTTTTACAAACTTTCTAGAAAAGGCATGTGTGGCACTAAAAGTCCAATTTAAATGCCTCAGTAATTAGAAGCATAGATATGTCCAGAGTACTATAGTGTATTCAGTGTCACAACACTTGCATGTACTTCAATATTTGTTTGAAAAAATAAATAAAAATATTTGTTTGCTCCCTGAGTATATGTATCTTCCTAAGATTTTTAATTAATTTTACAACATGTAAGCTCAAAAATTAACTTTTTTTCTCTCAGAGTCAAATATCCAAAGGGGAGGAAAAAAAAATCTAAAAACTAAGCAAATGAAAAAAAACCAAAACACCTTTTTACGAACATGGGGGGGGGGGGGCTAGGGGAGGAAAGGACTCAAGCCTGAAGAGAGTAATCATTTTATATAGAGAGAAAGAGAGAGACATACACACACACACACACACACACACCATGTAGTCATTATATTCGATGTACATTATGTAAAAAAATGAACTATGCCAAAAACAAACAAACAAAAAATGAACTATGCAACTTAAGAGTGGAGACAGAAGGGGAAAAATGGGAGAGAATGAAGGAAAGGGTGACACTAAGAAGGATTGTGCTCATAATCTGACTTACAGAATTGTAACCTTTGCACAACTACTTATAATAATAACTAAATTAAAAAATAAAAATTTTAAAAACTCTATCATTTTAGAGCTATCAAATGCTAAGAGAATTTGTGAACTTTTTTTTTTAGATAGGTTCTCCCTATGTAGCATAGGCTGGTCTCAAAATTGTAATCCTCCTGTCTTACTTTCTATGTGCTTTGCTTACAAGCATTTGCCACCCACCTAGTTTCCCTAACTTTAAAAGTACATTTCATTTGCCAGATGCCTATTAAGAAGAATCAAATTAAATCAATTTTGTTTTCAGAAAGCTCATAACTTAATGACCAGATACCTAATATGCTATTCTGAATATTACTAGGCTCCAAACCATTTATAGCCTAAGTAGAAGACTGTTTTTCTAGCAAGCAAGTCTTCTAAAGGTATATTCACTTCAAATATTTTTGTGAACATAAGGACTCAAAAATTGCTAAACATTTTTTCTAGTGCTTTAAAGAAATTGTTACAAAAGTATTAATATTATATACCATCAAAAAATGAAATGCTTTTTCTGAGAACTTAATAACCTCTTAACAATTTCTTCAAAGTAATTAAAACAATCATTACACTAAATAGGATTATCTTAATTTCCAGGATTCATCTATATTATACAAACACTTTTAAAATAGGTAATATTTCTTAGCACCTATTTATACTCTCTTCCCAATGGGAAGCTAATATTTAATTATTTTAAGATATTCTCATAGTAAGTCCCAAAACAGAAACCTACCAGAATTTATAACTAAATTCTTTTTTTCCTCAATACTAGTTTTTCATGGTATTATTAAAATATATGTATACTTTACCTTTGTTGCTCACCCCCAGACTGACCGTAACTTCCAGAATCTAAAACACATAAAAACAATTTTAAATCTTACTTAAAAATCTTTCACCTATGACTGACTTTAGCTCATACAGATGCAATATGGCAAAGAAATGTCAAAAATGAAGTACAAGCCAGGTGCCTGTGGCTCACTCTTATAATCCTAACTACTCAGGAGGCTGAGACTAGCGGATCATGGTTCAAAGCCAGCCCAGGGAAGGAAAGTTCATGAGACTCTTATCCTAATTAACCACCAGAAAACCGGAAGTGGTGCTGTGGCTCAAGTAGTAGAGCAGCCGCCTGGAACTGAAAAGCTGAAAGACAGCACCCAGGCCCCGAGTTTAAGCCCCATGTTCGACCAAAAAAGAAAACTGTAGAAAGTAAAACCTCAAGTTAAATACTGTACAGGGAGAAAACTATACAAGTGGTATTTTTGTTCTTTTCTTTTCTTTTTTACAATAACTACATTTTTAAAATCACAGCTTTAGCAGGGGATGGGTGCTATGCACTTCTAAGCCCAGCTACTGGAAGGAGGATCATGATTGCCAGCTCTGGGCAAACACGAAATAACTAGAGCAAAACGGACTAGGAGATGACTCAATTGGTAGAGTACCTGAATGAGGCTGGAGCCGGAGTTCAAACCCCAGTATCATCCCCCCACGGAAAAAACAAAAAAACAAAAAAATCACTCAGGCTGAGTGAGGTAGCTCATATCTGTAGTCCTAGCTAGTCAGGAGATCATGATTCAAAACCAGCCTGGACAAAAAATGTTAACAAGACCCTATCTGAACAAGTGTGGCAATATATAAACCATTCCTCTGTATCAGACTGCTTTGGCCATCAACACCAAAAAAGGGTTGCTTAAGACTTTTTACAGCTGCTCAGTTAGCTGTTGACTCCAATTTTTGCCACGTTTTCAGGAATTCAGTCAAGTTAGCAATACCTGCTTCTATCCTCCATTTTAATCTCTGAGGAAAAATGCTGCTTTTGTGCTAACCAATCGGACATTGTTAGAGAAAATAACAAATTTTGGAAAATATATAAACTCAACACAGAATCCCCCCTTCCATTCCTCTTCCTCCCCCTCAAAGGACTTCTGGCTGGCTCCTTTCCTGAGCCCAGTTATCGTGATTTTACTAGTGGTATCTGTGGGGCCCTGTCTTGTCAAATGTCTTACTCATTTTCTCCAGGAACATGTCCGAACTTTCACATCCCTGAGGATGACCAAGTTTTTCATGTCCACAGGACTCCTTAACAGAGAAGAGATCTGGGCCACAAAACTCCTCCCCTTAACCAAGAAGCCTAACCAACAGAACACCTAATGGGAGACCAATGCCCAAGTCAGCAGGAAGTAGCCAGAAAAGATAACTGCAGACCTCCTTCCCCAGTCTCCTCTACCAGCCCAATCCTTTTATCCATCCAAAGAGAAGGACTTACCTCTCCCTTCTGGGCCCAATCTTTTGATCTAAAGATGGACTATAAAGAATTGACCCCTGCCTTATTCCCCCAAGTCAAGCAAAACACCAGGTGCATGCTCAAGTGCTTGATCGCAGGCAGGTCATTCCCACTTTGGCTTAGCTGAAAGTTCCCTCAGCCCAGGTAGAACATTCCATTCTGGGTCTGGCCAAGGACATCCCCCACCTTGGCTTCCAAGAAACCATATAACCTGTTTTGTTTTGGTTTTTTTTTCTGCTTCCTTGTTAAGACCCATAAGCCTGACCCCAAATCCACCCATTCCTACAACCTCCATTCCCGCAGGAAGGTTTATTGCCCCTCACTGTACCTCTATAAAGAGTCCTCGCCTGTTGAAATGGAGGTGAAAAAAATACTGAAACGTGTTTTTTTTCTTTCAGTAGTTCAAAGTATCACTCGCATAAAAAATTGTTGAGGAGGTTCTCTATCCATTAGACTTCTAGACAAAGTCAAATGAATGCCTTGTCCATTTGTAATGAACAAAATCAATTTTATATGATTTCTTTTTGCCAGTCCTAGGGCTTGAACTCAGTGCCGGGGCACTGTCCCTGAGCTTCTTTTTGCTCAAGGCTAGCACTCTCACTTGAGCCACAGCACCACTTCTCGTTTTCTGGTGATTAACTGGAGACAAGAGTCTCTCGGGGACTTTGCTGCCTGGACTGGCTTTGAACCTGGACCCTCAGATCTTAGCCTCCTGAGAAGCTAGGATTACAGGTGTGAGCCACCAGTGCCTGTCAATACCATCTTTTGAGAGGAGCCCAGAAGGAAGGAGTTGGAGTGGAGAGACATGGGCCATGAATGTACAATGGAAAAGCAGATCCTCCAAAGTCCTGCGTCCCTGGAGAGACCACAGCTGGCTGACTCAGGCTGTAGGAACCTCCTCTCAGCTTAGGCTCCCATCTCTCTTTCCTCTCTTCCACCTTTTTTTTTTTTTTGGGGGGGGGGTCAGTTGTAGGGCTTGAACTTAGGGCCTGTACACTGTCCCTGAGCTCTTTTGCTCAAGGCTAGCACTCTTACCAACTTGAGCCACAGAGCCACTTCTGGTTTTTCTAGTGGTTAATTGGAGATAAGAGTCTCATGGACATTCCTGCCCACGCTGGCTTTTTTAAAGGCTGGGAATGTGGTTTAGTGGTAAAATGCTTGCCTAGAATGCATGAAGCCCTGGGTTTGATTCCTCAGAACCACATAAACAGAAAAGGCCAGAAGTGGCACTGTGGCTCAGTGCTAACTCTGAGCAAAAGAAGCTCAGGGAAAGTGCTCAGGCCCTGAGTTCAAGCCCCAGGACCGGCAACAAAACAACACAAAAACAGCTTACAAATGGTAAGGCATCTGAAACAAATGATCATCAAGAGGGCTGGGAAGGTGGCTCAGTGGTAGAACGCTTGCCTTGCATACCTGAGACCCTGGGTTCGATTCCTCAGCACCACATAAGCAAAAAGAAAAAAGCCGGAAGTGGTGCTGTGGCTCAACTGGTAGAGCACTAGCCTTGAGCTGAAGAGCTGAGGGACAGCGCCCAGGCCCAGAGTTCAGGCCCCACGACCAGACCCAAAAAAAAAAAAAAATGATCATCAAGATTACTTAACATTGAACTCGTTCCTGAGCTCAAAATCATTCAGAAGCGCTTTTAAATTTACAAAGTGTGTAGGGTTAACTCTGATTTTTTCTAACTAATCCACCGAAGTCAGAAAAATTATTTTCTACATTATTCTTTGCAGGCTAGGGCTTTTTCCTCTTGGTGTATGTCCCCTATGTGCTCCAAAAGAATTAGTTTCTAAATTTTAAGCAAATTCTGGTAAATTTGCACTAATATAGTATCCAGGTATTACTGTCTGATCATATAATATTTGCCTTATTAGTAGCTAAAGTCTTCCTATTTTGTTTTTTTTCTTTTTTTTTTTTGGGGGGGG